ATCTATCTATCTATCTATCTATCTAATCTATCATCTATCTATCTATCTATCTATCTATCTATCTATCTATCTATCATGTGTTGTGGGTTATATGTGATTAAACTAAGACACTTCTAGGTTTTGAAGACCAATAGAAAAAAGGCAAATTATTTAATGTGTTTACATTTTCGCCAGTTTTATTCTGAAATTCCAAAATATTCCAATAAGTGTATGTCCCAGCTTTATTGGATGACATCTGACTGATTATAACTCACATGTCACGAGCAGGAAATTCCTCTGCTACAGCTAAAACCTTCAGTTTGTGTCCCGTTCATATGAGGCGAGGCCCTGCGTGAGGCTCTTTGCCAACATGTTGAACACAATGGTAAAACTGTAAACCTCTAATCATCTGGAGCGACATCAGGGTTCTCTTTATTGAGCCTGACAACCAGAGCTTACTCAACAAGACGCCAAGTGTTCTGTTTCATTATTCTCAACAATTTAGGCCCTTCACTGTAATTAGCTCCCATGAGCTGCTGTTATAATGCAGCATAAAGAAATTAAAATGATTATAAAAGGTTGTCTGAGTTCTAATGTGCAGTTTGGGACTCTTGTCACCTTTAACTCCTTTAACACCTAATGAAATTTCTCATCATATGATCTGTTTTCTGAGACCAAATGATTGTTTGTTTTTATTGAAGCTACAAAGGAAACATTCATGTTCATTTTTTATTTTATTAAAGTCCTTTGCGTTTCTTCCACATTTTTTGGTAAATATCTTGTTATAACCGTCAGAGAGAGCCAAAAAGGTGAATTCAGTGCATAATATTCAGCCAAAATATAATTTAAACACCTTTAATAACAAAACCCTCCACATCTTTCCCCATTGATGCACATGCACATCTGATATCGGTCTGAGAAGGGAAACACTGTTTCTTGATATGTTATTATTATGATGTATGAACTGCTAATGCTCCCTGTGTTCTGCTCTAAATGCTTGTTGAGTGTTTAAGTTTAAGTGTCTTCATTAGGCTACTTTTGCTCTATTCTTAGACATCTCTCTATCTGCTGCAGCAATGACCCACTTTTCCCACAAGGATCATTACAATTTTATCTAATAAGCTATAGCTGCAAAAACATGAGGGAATTGAAATTATTATTATTATTTAAATAAAGATCCCTGACTTATTATGGGCTGCCAATATAAAACCAGTTATAAAATTGGCCAATAGGAGGTCTGCCTATAGGTTTTAAATGCAAACGTGACATGATGCTGTGCAGGATTGTAATCAGCAATTTTACTAATGCAATAAAACCCCATTGCCAATTAAGGTATACCCCCCTCTCTATCTCCCTCTCTCCCTCTCTCTCTCTCTCTCACTCACACACACACGCACACACACACCCTCTCCCTCTCTCTCAATATGAAAGCCCCTCGCTGACTTTGCCCAAAGGCGTTGTCTATGGTTGCCGGCTGTGCGTGATGAATCGTTATCTCCAGGCCATGCTGCTCGTCTGGGTAATAAAGTACCAGCAAAGCGGAGACAAAAGGAATTTGTCACAGTTGCCTCCCCGATATATTAGCGACCTACCGGTCGGTTTAGCTTTCATCTGGGGGTCCAGGGGCCTGCAAACCAAATTAAAATGAGCAGAAAAAATAAGAGAAAGTTGGGCATGTAAAGTTAAATAATGAGCCAGCAGAGGCCGGTTTAGGCGCTGGAAGAGACCACTTAAAAACAAAGAGGAGGACTACAAATATAGCGCAGTATTAGTTGTTGCTTCATTGGAGGGGACCTATTACTTAATGCTATTTCTAGTTTGAACGCGCAGGGCTGCAGTGCGCCTGAATCAGCTTTTACGCAGACTCGCAGGTGCGCAACGCGAACGCCCTCAGCCAATCAGAGGAATCCCTGACTATATGAAGGTAGCTTAAAAAGATAACAACATTTAGATATTTAATTATGAAGGCATAGACTGACAGAATATTTATATTTATCCTAAAGATGTTTTAAGTAATTAAAATAATATATATTAGAGACCAAACAGAGGCAGTTTATCCATTGCACTGAATGTCGTAAGTATAGCCTTTACAGGTAGCCTGTAGGAAGAGCTCTTCAATTGTTTACTAGTACAAATACTCCAGAGTAAAATATTCCAGTATCAGAAGTAAAAGAAGCATATTAATGCAAAATATTCCCTCTCTAAATATTGTATTAACCTATTTATATAATTGCATTATTACAATACTATACTATATTATTATTATTATTATTAGTAGTAGTAGTAGTAGTAGTAGTAGTATTGTTATTAGTATTGTTGTTGTTAGCATTGATGTGTGAGCAGTATTTCAGTGTTCTTACTAATTGGGATGATTTCTTTTCTCTCCTGTTGGGTATTTGGGTAGTTATAATACCATATAAGATGATCATGCTGTTATTCATCAAAGTAATGAGTAACTACAGCTGTCATATGAACGGGACAAAAAGTACAATATTTTCCAAAAGAATAAAAATGGCATAATTGGCATCTAAAGGGAAAGACCAAAGCAAAGTACAAGCAGGCCTACCT